GATTAGGAACTTCTCATTCTTGTTTCACTGTTGCTCTTTCAAAGATCACTGAACCTAAAACTTATAAACAAGCTGCTAAATTACCTAAATGGCAGAATGCTATGTCTAATGAAATTCAAGCTTTAAAAAATAACAAAACTTGGGTTTTAGTTTCACCACCTCCTAATCAGAATGTCATAGGATGTAAATGGGTTTTTAAAACAAAACTAAAACATGATGGTTATTTAGAAAGATATATAGCCAGATTAGTTGCAAAAGGTTATACTCAAGAAGGTTTTGATTATTTTAACACCTTTTCCCCTGTTGTAAAATTAACTACTGTCAGAATAATATTGGCTATTGTTAGTGCTAAAAACTGGATTTTACAGCAACTTGATGTAAATAATGCCTTTTTACATGGTGATTTAAATGAAGAAATCTTTATACAGCCTCCTCCAAGTTATCTACCTCCTACTGATAACAGGGTTTGCAAACTTATAAAGAGTCTCTATGGTCTTAAACAAGCCTCTAGGCAATGGTTCCGTAAGCTCTCTGACTCTCTCAAACTGTTTGGTTATAAACAGTCTCAAGCTGATTTTTCTTTATTCACCAAGATCACAGGAACTTCTTTTACTATACTTTTAGTATATGTTGATGATATCATCCTTGCTGGAAACAGTGTAGATGAAATCAATGTTGTCAAATCTTTTTTAAACAACATGTTTACTATTAAAGATATTGGTGAGTTAATACATTTTGGGGATTGAAGTTGCTAGGTCTGAAAAAGGTATAAATCCATGTCAAAGAAAATACACTTTAGACATTCTTACTGAATATGGTTATCTTCATTGTCAAAGAATTAGTGTATATAAGAATATGATTAAGGAATATACTCTAGACATTATTATTGTATAGCATATTATGTAGGAATATTCCTTCTCTGTAACCTATATATAGGGCCTTAACCCTCTAATATTATACACAGAAAATCCTTCTCTCCATGTTCAATATCATTCTAGTTATACTTTAACATGGTATCAGAGCCATCAATTTCAGTTTAGTTTTCATATTTCATTTTAGTCATTCATATCTCAGTTTAGTTTATCAGTTTAGTTCTTTCTCCAAGAGCTAATTTCAGTCCAGAACCTTCGGAATCCTACACTTCCCAGAACCTCTTCTCAGAACCTGAGTTAATCTTACACTTCGGAATCCTACCAGATTCTTAATTGAGAAAATCAATTAGCTGCTACTTTCCAGAAAATCAATTAGCTGCTAATTTTTTAGAAACTCAGTTCAGTTAGCTTTATAGCCCCAGATTCTTCAGACCAGAATTTGAGTCACATCCATACTCAGGAGGTGCGCCTACCTCAGACGACCCAACAGTTGAAATCTGACACCGAACTGCAAGGCGAGCGTGCTACACGTTTCTGGCTAGAGATTTGATCGCAACTCTTCAACAGACTCGGCTGAAGTCCTCTACCACCAGGTACACGTTACTTCTCTCTCGTTCTTCCTTTAAAAAGGGACGATAGCTGTGGAGGAGATGTAGTGGTTGGTCGTTACTTCTCGCTCGCTGGGGTCTGGCATCGAAGTATCCAGGACATACGCATGTTCTGGTTTTGCGTCGTTGGGGCGTGGGATCGGATATCTGTGACATACGCACACTCTTTTGTTTATTTGTTGAGGGTTTGGAACCGAACTTCTGTATGGAGTCTAGACTCTGGAGTAGCAGTCAAAGCCCAAGCCTAAGCAGATTGGATATTTTACTCTCCAAGGTCAAGTCCACAAACGGGCTGCTGTAAGTTTTCATTGGATATCTCAATTTTGAACATAATTACATTCTCATAAAAAAAACCAAAAAAAAAAAAAAGAAAAAAAAAGAGAAAAAAATGTTTCGTATAGGTCAATTTCACAGAGGAGTAATATGCAATTACTGCAAGAAGCCCGAACACTTGATCAAAGAATGTAGAAAATTGCTATTCAAAAATCAAGGAAATCAGCTTGCTCATGTTGCTTCCGCTACCAGTTCCTTTGATGGATCAATTGCTATTTCTTCAGACGAGTATGCCAAATTTATTTGCTACCAAGAATCTCTAAAGCATTCCTCTATTCCTATCTCGGTAATTGCTAATTCAGGTATTTCAAACACATCTCTTGTTTCATCATCCTCGAAATGGGTTATTGACTCAGGTGCCACAGATCATATGACCGGTAATCCTAGTCTATTCTCATCATTTCATTCATATTTACCTACTTCTAGTGTCACTTTAGCTGACAGGTCTACCCCACCCGTCCTTGGACCCAAAACGTTTGTAATTTCCGTGTGTTTATTTACGATTTTAGTTAGTTTTGGTTGTTTAATATTTCGGAAATTACACACTTTCGGTGTAATAGTTTAGCTTGTTAAATTCTTGTAAATTGTTTAGATTAGGTTTTTTCTGAGCTCAAACAGGTATACCATCACTCAAAGGACAGTTGGTGAACCCCAAAAGTGGAAGGAAGGTGCAAAATCACAAGACAAAGAAGAGATCCTGAATTTTATGTCTATACCCGGTCGAGTATCACCTATACTCGATCGGATATCTTGTTGAAACTTCAAATCAAATCGGATCCGAAAGCAAAGGAACATGCAGGAAAATTTTACCCACGATCGAGTGTCTATACCCGATCGGGTACACCGACATACTCGATCGGGTATAGTTATAAAATTTACTCTAAAACCGATCGAGTATGGGTCGAATTCTGATTTCTACACATACTCGATCGAGTATATGTATATACTCGATCGAGTACCCGACCTGCACCTCAAAAGAGCCTATAAATACACCTCCTTTCCTTCACTTTTAAAAACCAATTCCTTTATACTCTTAAGCTCAGTTTAGAATAGAACTTCTCTATATTTCTTTTAGCATGTTTAGTCTCCAAATGAGGAGCTAAACTTCCATTTCTTGGTATTGCTCTTGAAGCTTGTTGATTATTAAAGTTGTGAGTTATTTTCTTAACTTCTTTTCCTTGAATATTAATTCATCCTTTAAATACTATTTCTATATCAATGTTGGGGAGTGTTACTAAGATGACAATTAGTTAACATCTTGACATTGGTTTTAGTAATAGCTATTCCTTCCTCTATGTTAATATCGGGGAGTGTTACTAAGATGACAATTAGTTAACATCTTGATATTTAACTATAGTAGGATTCATTCCCTTTAATATTCTTCCTTGAGTATTAATTAATTCCTATTCATTTTTCATATTAATATTTTGAACATTACTTAAAGGATCAACTAGTTTTGTTTCACATATTAATTATTACTAGAAACTATCAACGAACCGATGGTTAATCGTTGATAGTTTCACAAGTAAGTAACTTCGGTTTATTAATGCACGGTCGTGGTTAATAAACTTAAGAGGGATTAATTTTATTGGTTAAACCGAAACCATTGTGTTGAGGTTATCAATCTCAATTGATTTCATCAAGGAGTTAAAAGATTAAATGCTACTATCAAGTCGGTATATGGCGTTGTTCTATACTTGACTAATAGTAAGGGTTATTAATGAACGGTTGTTGTTAATAACTATCCTCGATGAATTGGATATACTCCTCGATTGAGTATTCGAGAGGAGATAAGTTATAGATATAACAATGTTCCTGTTCCTGTTCCTGACCCCAGACCTCCAGTACACTTGGTTTACACCCGTCGACACAAAGTACTAGATCAACATCCACTTGTGACACCTGTGATTACTTATCCTAATACTGGTCCGACTTCGATCAAATGTCCTGAACCAGTACCTGCATCTTCATATCTTGTCTCTACAACAGATCTTGACCTCCCGATAGCACTACGTAAAGGTACACGGTCTTTTACTCATCCTATTTCTTCATTTGTGTCATATAGTCAGTTATCCTCTGCCTCATGTTCTTTTATTGCTTCCATTGATTCTATTTCTGTTCCCAAATCTGTTAAAGAAGCTTTGTCTCATCCTGAATGGCGTCATGCCATGGTAGAGGAAATGAATGCTTTGGATCTTAATGGTACTTGGAATTTGGTAGACTTGCCTACAGGGAAGAAGTCTATTGGATGTAAGTGGGTCTTTGCTATTAAAGTTAATCCAGATGGATCTGTTGCTCGATTGAAAGCTCGATTAGTTGCGAACGGTTATGCTCAAACCTATGGTATTTACTATTCTGACACTTTTTCTTCTGTTGCTAAATTAACATCTGTCAGGTTACTTATTTCACTTGCTGCAACTCATGGTTGGCACTTGCATCAATTAGACATTAAAAATGCATTCTTGCATGGTGACCTTCAGGAGGAAGTTTATATTGAGCAACCTCCGGGGTTTGTTGCTCAGGGAGAGTATGGGAAAGTTTGTCGACTTCGCAAGTCTCACTACAACAAAATAGGCCTTTTGTAACACCCGTAAAATGTTGCATTACATAGTTAAAATGTTACAAAAGGTTTAAGTAACACTTTTATGAGTGTTACTTCAGGTCTTGTTGCATAAAGTCATATGCAACACTTTTCACTATATTATGCAACATTTAATAAAAGTGTTACATATTTTACTCTAATGCAACACTTTCACACGAGAGATTAACCACCATCTTACGCAACAGTTTTTTGAATAAAATGCAACACTAATAGTATGACTTCTTGCAACATAAATTTAGATTATGTAACATGTGTATCACTATTTTATGCAACAAGTTTCTCGAAATTGCAACACTTTTGTTAAGTTATAGGTAACACTTTTTCTAAGAAAATGAAATATATATATATATATATATATATATATATACACACACACGTATATAGTTATAGACTTATAGGCATCAATACATATCAATGAAAATGTTAAAAGCATCACAATATTATATTATCCAATCAAACAATATTCATTACATATCTTATGTGTCAAAGAGAAACTCAAATGGATAACAAGATAATCAACGTTGCACAATTTGAAATAAATAGTATTGTAATATATCAAAATTGATAATAATAGCAACCGATTAATCCTTTAAAAAACTAGCTAATTAAATATCTCTGACTCTATACTCCAAGCGAGTTGACATCAAAATTTGGAATCATGGCAGACAGTTTTGCTAGAATCAAATCCATCTTCTGTTTCTCAACTTCACGCTCCTTCCGCATTTGTTCTAGCTCGGCATCCTTTTTCTCATTTTTTTCTTCAATCTCCTTTCTCAAAGTGCTCATGACTGTCTCCATATCATTAGAAGTCATGACATATGACTGTACGGTCTCTTTTGTATTAACAAGGTCTTTCTTGGTGACACCTCTTCCACACATTATTGGACCACCACTTTTCTCCTTTGACATAATTGCAGCATACCCATCAATTGCAGCTTCACCTTCTTCATTATTTTCTGCCTCATAATTCTTCATTTCAATCTGTACATGACATATGATGATAATCACTAAACTAATCCAGTTTTTTCTGCCTCATAATTTTGCATCTAAGATCAAATGACATTGACGATAAATTATACCACCAAAGCATCATCATAAATTTTTACATAGTTTTTCACTCAAATTGTTGTTCTTGAAACAAAAAAAAAACTGATCTAACGTACAACCAATAAATGTCAAACTGCTCCATAAATTTACACTCAAATGCACCATGTTGCAAAAAACATTCCAACAGTTCAAAAAAGTATCATATCAATGCCATATGTCACAACTCAAATGGATTAACTCAAAAGGCAATACCAAGCTTGATATAGATTGAACCTGAGATGGCTTTTGTGCAAGAAACGAAGATGATTTTCAACAGAGACTAATACATGTCCCTTTCTCCCTTGCTTGTCTGATAGTTTTGAGTTTAGTTGGAAAGACTTTATTTTTCCTAATAAAAGTTACAGGATATCCAATTTCCTACAAGAATTCACTTGGAACAACTGCTTTGATGCAGTGAATAAAAATAGTCAAGTCACTTTATTTTAAAGGGTGATGAAATATTATCAAATGTTAAATTTTGATGGTGTTTAATGATTTCATAGTCTTCCAAACAACTCCTACATAAAACTACTGCCAACAAAAAAACACAATGCAAAGTGTACAAGGAAATTTAAGATGTATGACTCATTAAAAATAAACATTCTCGATTTCTAATAAATTAGTGATGGGTAATAAATCATTGAAATAATAAAGAGATAATATAATATGACAACGCAAGACTCACAATTTTTGTGGCAGTATCTTCATATGAACTTTTATATTGACGCCCCTCAGTTCTTTTGCGTGTGACTTCATACATAGTTGATAATGGTATGTCAACATCATTTGGAAGGGTAGTTTGCTGTGATAAATAGAAAAATCATTTGTAACATTATACAGTTAACAAACAATAAAAGTTGTTACACAAAATATGTATGGTACCAATTTTGCACGAAGTCTGGCAAAAGACTTGCGACCCGTCGTGGGGTTATCTTTTCGGAGAGCGCGATTAGCCTTCTTACGGTTACATTGTTGCTACATTGAATGTTCGCAAAAATTTAGTCTTAGCAAATGTGAAAGAATAAAATTAAAAATAGAATTACATTTATATTTTATTTAATGTACCTGGTAATCTTTACAATTCCACAACTATAAGAGCATTCGAAAATCTTTTTCAGGAATCTCTTTTGGCCGCTTACTCCATCTGCTCTTATTATCCTTGTACTGTGAGCAAAATTTTTCCTTGAACCGACACTTGTGAACTCTCCAGGCTGATCCAATTGTACTCAATACCCATTTTTTTCCATTCAGGTCAACGTCATATTTGGACTATATAAGCGGGTAAAAAGTTAGTTATATTAGCTTTAAATGTTATAATATTTAATTAATTAAAAAAAATTCTCGTATTTAATCTCAAATATGAACTTTCTTTTTATAATAATTCAATGTATGTAATTCATGTATAATATTAATTACAGGGACTATCTTCTCAAAGCGAGCAAAGGCCACTCACAAATTCATAAACATGTAAAAATCCAATTAAATGAAAAAAGCATCACCAAAAATGTAAGAGACTAAGAGCTCTATAATACATACGAGTACATAGTCCCACATGCTGTTCTTGTCCGGCATACGTTTCCAAGTTCCAACTACCAATGGAGCAAACTCATAACAATGAGCGATTGTCCCCAAAAAGGATGAGAATTCATCTAGTGTAGCATCATCCGGTCCAATTGGTTGACCAAACTTATTTAATATGATGCATACACGATGTTCTCGCATATGCACTGCATGCATCATTGTAGGACCCCTAGTTTTTTTTGTTCTTTCCGAATCATCTAAATAATACATCAAAAACATATCATTATTACATTTAATGTAAACTGTCTCACTGGTGAGAGATTATAACTTTATAAGTACTTGAAGTTGTTGAAGTCCTTTTATATAGAAAGGAACTGAAAGCACTTACGTGATCTTTTTTGTATCTCACCACCTGTCACCTCATGTTCAAGCTCCACTTGTTCACTCAGACCGTCATTTTGTTCATCTTCAATGTGTTCATCAATCATAGCATCACTAATATTCTCTTCTATATCTTTGTCACCACCTGCTTAAAATAAGTAGTAAAGTCAAACCTCTGAAATTAGTAGCATTGCCATTAACAACAGTTATTGTCCTCAAGCAAGTATTAATAATTACATAATTCTTGAAACAGGGACATAATGTTTATTAACCATAATAAGAATAGTCCAATATATGATTGTTATATTTTAATTGATCATATTTTAATTAAATTTGCCACATTGTTACATGGAAAAAGAATCTCACCCACCTATTCTCTTTCCTTCTTCCCTCTGCTACAAAGTAGTGGGTGTGATCTTACCATATCCTTGACCTTGACCATATTCTTTGCTTCATTGACGGATTCAGGAAAATTACCATGAGGAACTACTTCTTTAAAAAGACCTAGCAGTTCAGAAAAAGCGTTGTTGCTCACTCCGTTGACTGTCTTGAAAAGTAAGAGGCGAATTGTGAAAGAAAGAACAGTAAAGTTTTTAAATTCTGGATATAGTTCTTTGTTTCCCTCCTCCAATAAAGTATAAAATCTTTTTGCATCTTCGTTCATCCCGCTTTGATTTTGACCGTCATGAATTCCTCGAAATCTGTCAGCTAAAAGATCATCAATATTGTCATATTGATCAATATTGTCATATTGATTTGTATCGTTTTTATAACCCCTGTGATCAGCTGACATAGGTCCCTCTCCATGAAAGTTCCACTTCAAATAATTCTCTACAAATCCCCTTGCTATCACATGATTCCACACTTCATCTCTACGATACCAGTAACGATTTTTACATTCTTTGCATGGGCAAAGAATTTGACCCCCACGATCGATTCCTTTAGCAAAGGCTTTATCAAGGAAACTACACAAACCATTCTTGAATTCGAGTGAAAGTCTATGAGTATACATCCAAGTCCTATCTCTCTCCATTACCTTAAAGTTCATTAAAAAGGGATAAATAAATAAATAAATAAATAAATAAATAAATAAATAAATAAATAAATAAAACATAGTAAAGTAAAAAAATGAGCTTAATTAGAATAAATAATTAAAGGTGGTTCTCTGGCAGAGGAAGTAAAAAAAAACTAGCAAAAGTCGGGATTTTCTGAAAAAGGAAGTAAAATGTATTTTGTTTTTCCTTTTGATTTCACTATATAAAAAGACATCTTTCACAAGGTTGTTGAAATCCTCCTGTTAGACTTTAGCATAGAAAATGTTTTAAAAAAAGACTTCAGCATAAACAAAAGAACAATTACTAGGTCCTTTTCCTGACAATAATGGCAGAAATCACGCGAATCAGCTCTCTGTCAAACAAAGCTTACGGTGTACCATAAAGTAACAGGTTAACATGAATAAAGAAATAGCCTTGTTTTGAATAAGTTGTCCTAAACTGGACTGCTCTAAATAGCTAAGCAATGACCTTTAGGCACATTTTTGAATAAAAAACAACATAACAGTAAGAAGAAAAGTTCAAACATGCCTCTCACATTTAATGTTAAAATATTAAACAATCAACAAGTAATAAATAGAAAAAAGAGGTTTTGTATCACCACCCTAATACCTAACTTGGACGATGTTAAAAACTAAATTATAATGCCCATTATTACCAATTAATCAAAATTGGTAAGATTTTGTGAAACTAGGATGGAGTATATCGAATTTCTTCCACACATCACCTTCCAGAGTTTTCTATCAATGAGCGGGGAAACTATTCATACATTCTTTTAGGATATTCATTAAGATAGATTATATTACGTATATAAAAAAATACAACCAAAGCTTCTGTAAGAGAGGAGGAGATCAAGTAAGTACGGGGGAGGGAGTGAATGACTTAAGCAGCAGGTTGGAGATGATTGATTTGTGGGACGATCTGAAAACGATAAGGGAGGAGATCAAGATTATGATACTCATAATCCAAAAGAACAACCTAAATTCGTTTTACCAAAATAAAACTTAAACCAAGTTTCTATTAGTTCAATTAGATAAAAACTAAATACAAATTCAAGGCATTCTTTTGAAGAAGACATTCACGATGTTCAAATATACTAAATCTCAAATTGAGAAAAATTAAAACCCTAATCAGAAATCAAACTAGAATAATCGATTACTCATTAATCTACTGGCATGATATCCGTACGAACATCCAAGGTAAATAGCGTGCCTAAGCAGAAGATAAATTGTGTACCGTAGCAGAAGTGGTCGGCGATGGTTGAGCTGGTGGCGGTACGTTCTGGAGCAAGCCTGGCTCGGGAAGTTAGAAGCAGGCAAGCTTTTAATCGCGGTGGATTGAGAAAGCTCGAAGGAGGCGAGCTTCGCTATCGTGAATCGCGATGGATTGATAAAGCCAGGAGGCAGGCTTTTGGAGCCGACTGGAAGAAAGGAATTTGGTCAAAGGATTGTGACCAAATTTGATTAAGGGTAAGATCTTACTCCTGGGCTTGAGAGTTATTGGCGCGAACGTGTAAATTTTAACAGCGGGCAGGGAATATATTTTAAAAGAGTGGGATTAGCAAACAAATCAAAATTAAAATGTTAAAAAATTTTATTTTAGGAGTATATGTTGCATAAGACTTGATCAGAAGCAACGTTCCTAACAAGTGTTACATAAAATCTGATCGTAATTTTTTTTATTTATCAATTGCAACACTTAAAATATAAGTGTTACATTATACTTAATAAAATGCAATACTTTACAATAAGTGTTGCATAAATTCATACGCCAAAGGTTTGAGCAACATTTATAATCAAGTGTTGCATAATAGTAGATCTAAATAGTATATGTAACATAATTAATAAATGTTACAAACAAAGTGTTACAAAAAGTCAATTTTGTTGTAGTGTCTCTTTATGGTCTGAAACAAAGTCCCCGTGCATGGTTTGGGAAATTCAGTCAATCCATTGAAAGGTTTGGAATGATGAAAGTACAATCAGATCACTCTGTCTTTTACAGACAAACGAAAGCAGGTATCACTTTGCTTGTGGTGTATGTTGATGATATTGTGATTACAGGGAGTGATAATTAATGCAGGTATTTTGGCCCTTCAGAATTTTCTGCATAGTCAATTCCAGACGAAAGATCTTGGCTCATTGAAATACTTTTTGGGAATTGAGGTAACACGAAGTAAGAAACGCATATTTCAATCTCAACGTAAATATGTACTTGACTTACTAGCCGAGATAGGGAAATTAGGGGCAAATCCAAGTACAACACCCATGGTTCCCAACGTGCAACTCACTCAAGAAGGCACACCGTTTGAAGACCCAGGAAGATATAGAAGATTGGTTGGAAATCTTAATTATCTCGCAGTCACTCGTCCAGATATTGCGCATTCTGTGAGTGTAGTGAGTCAATACATGTCATCTCCAACCATTGATCATTGGGCTACTGTAGAACACATATAATGTTACTTAAAGGGTGCTCCAGGACGAGGTATTGTTTACCAAAACCACGACCACATGAGAATAGAATGTTTTGCATATGCTGATTGAGCCGGTTCTAAAGATGATCGAAGATCTACACCTAGTTATTGCGTCTTTGTTGGTGGTAATCTTGTATCTTGGAAGAGTAAGAAACATAATGTGGTTTCTCGTTCGAGTGCTGAATCTGAATATCGAGCTATGGCACAATCTGCACGTGAGATCATATGGATAAGCCATTTATTGACTGAGCTCGGATTGAAGACATCAATGCCTGCTAAATTGTGGTGTGATAACCAAGCTTCTATACACATAGCAAACAATCATGTATTTCATGAGAGAACAAAGCATATCGAAGTTGATTTCCATTTTATTCGAGAGAAGATACAAAAAGGATTGATTTCTACGGTTATGTGAAGACTGGAGAACAACTTGGAGATTTATTCACTAATGGTCTAAATGGGATTCACGTTGATTACTTATGTAACAAGTTGGTCATCATAAATATCTATGCTCCAGCTTGAGGAGGAGTGTGAAAGAATTAGTGTATATAAGAATATGCTTTAGGAACATACTTTAGACATTATTATTGTATAGCATCTTATGTAGGAATATTCCTTCTTTGTAACCTATATATAGGGCCTTAACCCTCTAATATTATACACATAAAATCCTTCTCTCCATGTTCAATATCATTCTAGTTTATACTTTAACATTCATTCTAAACCTTATACCATTTCTATGGACTCAAAAATTAAGCTGTCTAAAAACAATGGAACTGTTTTAGAAAACCCTAAAACATATAGAACTCTGATTGGCAAGTTGCTTTATTTAACTGTATCCAGGCTAGATATTGCTTATAGTATACAAATTCTTAGTCAATTTCTTGCATCTCATACTGATGTTCATTTGAGTGCAGCTCATAGAGTCCTAAGATACCTTAAGAATTCTCCAGGTAAAGGTTTATTTTACCCATGTACTTCTGATTTTTCCATTAAAGGGTAAACTGATTCTGACCAGGCAGCTTGTATAGGTACACTAGGAGGAGTGTTTCAGGTTATGCCTTTTATCTAGGTAATTCTTTGATTTCCTGAAAATCTAAAAAGCAACAGGTTGTTAGTAGATCCTCTATAGAAGCTGAATACAGGGTAGCTACTAATGCAGTTTGTGAGGCTCAATGGTTGTCCTATATTTTCAATGATTTACATATACCAGTTTCCTTACCTATAATTCTTTATACTGATAATAAATCTACTTACCACCTTGCTCATAATCCCATTCAACATCAAAGAACTAAACACATAAAATTGGACTGTCATTTAGTTAGAGAAAAAATTAATTCTGGATTAATTATTTTGCTTCATATTAAAAATGATTTTCAACTTGCAGATATTTATACAAAACCGCTTGGAAATCCTCTATTCAGTCAATTTGCAGTCAATACATGGACATCCATTCTACTCTTGAGGGGGCGTATCAAGAATAATACACTGGGCTGTAACTTGGGCTGATCTTTTTTTGGGGCCTATCTAATGTTTATTGGGCCTATAGTTATTCTCTTATCATTTTACATAGAAAGGTATAAATACCTCATAGTCAATTAACATATTGACTAGGAGACTATGGACTCACTTCCGGGAAAGAATCTTATTTTACTGTTTGGATTAATTTTCCAAACAGTCTCACTTCCACATTCTTCTTCTTCGACAATTTCATCATCACAATTTCAATAAGATTTCTTGAGATAAAATTTCACAAGAGGTCTATAATTTATTTTCAAATGAATTAATGTTTGTGATATTGCACTATTAGCGTAGGGACTACGCTATAACATTATTGGGGTTTGATGATGTCGACGCTTGGAGCATATTCCATAAAAAATACTACGTAGTACTTTTTCATGTGACATCTGTTGTTTTACATGTTATCGTTAATGTGCAACCATCGTGACTTTATAATTAACTTTTTAAATAAATAAACTTGAAAATTAGTAATGTAAATTATATGAAAAATTCACACACACATGTGTGTAAGCCATTAAGTTCAATATATTAATTAGTGTAAAGTGGATTCAAATTCATCATTTATCTAGTAAATTACACATTTAATTTAATATGTTAAGGATGCATAAATGAACAAAGGAGTCGAATTATGGTAAATATTATGAAGTGATTTTCAACCAATCGTATACATGATAAGTTAAATTATATGTACATATGTGTACTAATGATCTAAATACTATACGGATATTATATATTACGGTGTACGTTTAAAACTTATCACAAATATATATACTACAAGGTTAATTAATGGTCAATAATTAACGAAAATATGAACTTGAAATCTAAATCTTAAACGTGTAATGGGCAATATTAAATTTACCTGTAAATAAAAGGGCAAAATTTTAGGTAATATTTATAATAAGGGCAAGTCAACAAATATTATACGTAAGTTATTAACTTAATATGAATTTACCACAAGTAATAAGAAAACTGGATAAGTTCAAGAATATTATTTATATTCATTAAAGTCGGATTATCACTATACCACAAGTAATAATCTAGTTATTATAACAAAACTAATTTGAAATCAGAAATAATACCTATATTAGTACTAAAACTACTAATTATACATGTTGAATTTAAATAGATAAAAACAAATGGAATTTGAAACATTGTTACTCGATTTGGATAGGTTGGCAAGCCCAGCTCTCCCTTCTTCACTCCCACGTGAATTTAATATGCTGGTAGAATTTAATGGATTAATTAGAGATCGCACCCATACAAGTACTCGAATTATGACATTAAATTATGAGTCCAAATGCTAGGTTTGACCCACATAACAACGGTGAGTGCCGATAATAGCCAAATGGTCTTCAACCACAGAGTGGACAATACTAGATAGGTATGTCCTGTTTATCTTGTCCATTAAACTAAAGAGTAAAATTCAAGAAAATTAATGAAAGTATAAAAGTGTGAAAAGGGGCAAAAGTGATAGAGACAATGACACAAGAAAATAAGCAAAAGATAAAAAATGAGCAAATCAAAGATTAAAGTGAGACAAGAAGAGTCGAATGGAATATTGAATTAGAGCTATGATATTTCTTATTTGAATTTTGACTTTGACATAATGGTGAAATAAGAGCAATTTAGTTTTACTAAGTTTTTGACTATATTTTTGTCTATAAATAGTCTGTTTTCAGGACAAAACATGTTCACAAATGCATGTGAGCAATTTATTCACAAATAAAAATCAGTCTTAACACACACGTGTATACTTGTGGTTACAAAATATATACACCACCGTCCCACTGAACTTTGCTAACTTTGCTTTTTTGTTTATCCAAAAATTCTTTGACATTTTTCTCTTAAAACTAGCAATGAATTAATGATTCTATTGGTTTCTCTCTCATCTGCACAAACATCAATCACGCAATTACACTTTTCTTATTTCTTACCTAATTTGAAGTTTCCAAAGTTTAGTGGGACCGAGGTAGAATACAAATAGTGGAGCAATATAATTTGACTTTGCAACCCATTTTTTGGGTAATAAATATAGGATTATGCACCCTATTGCAACGTCAATTTTTTTATTTTAAATCAGGTGCAAAGTTCAATATCACCCAAAAATTGAAGTGCAAATTAAAGTCATATTCACCCGCATAAAAACTCGGTAATTCTTTTTTGTGAAAGGTGTGCATGGCAGGATGGGCATGCCGCTTACCCGGAAAAGGAAAGTGATGAAACAAGACGTAGTATGACCTTGCTTTCATTGATTGCACATGTTCCATCTACAAATTTAAAAACTTCACTAATGTAATATTCACTTCTGTTTTCACTTTTCTTTTTTTGTGAACGATGTGGATGGGTATTTGGCTTACCCTTAAAAGGAAAGTGATGAAACAAGACGTAGTATGTGACATTGCTTTCATTGATTGCACATGCTCCATCTGCCAAATTTCAATTTTTTGTGAAAACAAATTTACTTTAATATTCACTTTTGTTTTCTCTTTTGATAATTGATGTGTTTCGTATAGGGATGAATGCCATAGTAGTACTCTACAAAATAAAATACTATATATGATTTTTTCCTTAAGTATCACTAATAAAATATTATGGACAAGAATGTGACTTAAAAAATATTAGTGAGTATAATTATGTTCAAAATTTACGTCACATAACTTACATTTAGTTAAATGTTTTGTATTCTACAACACATTTTCTTTTTACTCGTAATATAATTAATTAATATAATTAATTAATTAATTAATTAATTAATAATTAATATAACTAATATAAATAATTAATTAATATAAATAATTAATATAATTAATTGTCCTTAGTTCTCTTGCATAATTAAAGTCACCATTTTGATGGCAGAGTAGTGTAGTGATGGTGGCAACCCTGCAGTAATGGCAAGTAGGTGGTGGCGGAATTCAAGCGATGAGTGGCAATGGTGACCGGTGATGGCAGTTCAACGGCAGAGCTTTGGTGACTAGCGAAAGCCGCCACCGGCTGATGTTAGGTAGGGGCAGTGCCGCAGTGATAGCAGTCTGGTGACAGTCCAAAGCATTTAAGCATGTAGGGATATATATTTATGCATTTGAATGGCATTTTACTCCTATTTTAAGAATTCACCCAAATTTAAAATCTTACAACTACCACCCTACTTCAACTTACTTTGCCTTCAATTCACACTAGGAACTTTATATGAAAATTTCTTCTTTACACGATTTTACTGTTTACACGTTTGTACACTCGTCTGTGCATGCTGTTAACGCATGCATGGCACATGCATGCCGCATACATGCAATTCGGAACCCATATGTCCACATGCAGTGAACCTCCTTACTAATAGTATATTATTGTTGTACATTCAAAATAGTTTGACTTAGAATTATATTTGATCCACTCGTATAGCTTTCCTACGCCGCACATATAGTGATAGGCTTATAGTTTGCTAATCAGTTTTACATTCTTATCTTTACACGTTCAATTGTAAATGTAAAGTGTATTTATACACGTTGAGATGAATGATACGAGTACGTTGAATTCCAATCATCTAATTTGGTATCAGACGCTCACTCTCTTCTTCCTCCTATGGCTTCCGCAAAATCCCCATCATTTCACCCAACTCTTGCTCTCACCAACATAAAAAGTTTTATTCCAATTACCCCCGATCTCGAGAATGTGGAATACTCCTCCTAGACCGAACTTTTTAAGATCACAACCCGTGCCTACCAGGTTGAAGATCACATCTTTCCCGTTGAAACGGATACCTCGATCGCTTCCACTTCCACCAACCCACCTCCAGAACAAACTCCAGAGCAAGTTCTTGCCGCCGCCGCCGCAACAGCCGAATCTGAGGCTCTTTGGAAACGACTCGATGCCATGGTGTTACAATGGATTTATGGGACTATATCCCATGATCTTTTGCACACTATTCTCGAGCCGGACTCTACTGCCAAAGCCGCATGGGATCGCTTGGCCGATCTTTTCCTTGACAACAAAAATACTCGGGCGCTGCATCTCGAAACCGAATTTTCCAATACCCGATTGGAGAGCTTCCCTAACATTGCTTCCTATTGCAATGCTCTCAAAACTCTGGCCACGAAATTGTCCAACGTCGATTCTCCCGTCAACAATCAACGCTTGGTGTTGCGTATTGTGAATGGTCTCCCTCCGGCCTATGACTCAGTTGCATCTCTCATTCAACAAACTGTCCCTCTTCCTCCATATTCCCAGGCCCGATCGATGCTCCTTCTGGAAGAAACCAGGAAGGCTCAACAAAACAACTCCTCACCCACTGCCTTGGTTCATACCGGTGCTCCAGTTGTTGTGCCACAGCCGAATGTTCAACCTGGCCGCCCTCAAAACCACGGCAGGGGGCGTGGCTCTTCACGTGGTGGTCGCAACCGTCCCTCCGGTTCTCCGGCGACACCCCAAACTGCCAACCCGTGGCAAATGCCGCCGTGGGGTTACTGGCGGCCACCATGGAGCATTCCGCCGTGCCCCTACCCATCCACTGCATGGCCCAGAAACCAAAGCTCTCGGCCTCCCTTCCCCGCTGCCGGCATACTTGGTCCACGGCCTCAACAAGCACACATTGCCTCCCCGTCTCCTACGGATATCACCAATGCCATGGCCACCATGTCCCTCACTCACCCGGATGAAAATTGGTACCTTGACACGGGGGCCACATCGCATATGACGTCCAATGTAGGTATTTTCACGTCTTATTTTAATAATGGTTCTAAACAACGTATTATGGTGGGTAATGGTCAATCCATACCCATTATAGGTCATGGCAGTACGTCTCTATCCCCACCCAACCCACCCCTTCTCTTACAAAATATTCTTCATGCCCCTCATTTAGTCAAATTTAATTTCAGTTCGTCGTCTTACTACCGATAATAATATTTCAATTGAGTTTGACCCGTTTGGTTTTTCTGTGAAGGAACTCCGCACTGGAATGCCTCTTATGAGATGTGATAGTTCGGGTGATCTTTATCCTCTTCAGCCATTTTTTTGTCTGTGAAAACAGTGTTCACAGACGAAACGTGTTGTCACAGACAAAAAATGCATGTACAGACGAGTGTACAACTATGTAGCACCGATACCGGTACGCGGAAACGCGGAAACGCGGAAACGGGTACGGGGATACGTCAAAACAAAAAAAAGTAGGATACGGATACGGGGCCATATTTATAAATATTAAAAGTTATGGGGTGTATCTACAAATATTAAAAGTTATAGGGGTCTATTTATAAATATTAAAAATAGTTTTTTTTTGAAAAAATATATATACATATAATATCCTTATGATGTCTACCTATTCATTGCATTGAAGCATTTTCTTTTTTCAAGATACTTAGTAATAAATTCATAATATATTTCTCATATACACTAGTGCATCTCGAAATATAAATGTAGTCAATAAGTCATTAATTTAAAATGAGAAATAAGTCAAACAACTACAATCTTGAAATTAAAAGTGCAAGTACCCAATTCGGAGTATGAGTTAATGACTTAATTCGGATATAGCCATATAGGCCCATTATTTGATTACCAAGTAAAATGTAGTTTTAGATTTTCAATTTTTTTAGAGTTATTAGTCCTAAATAGGACTAAATTATGATCAAAGTTCCTAAATAGGACTAAATAGGACTTCTTATTTCGAATTTACCCTGCTATAATAAAAGCCCTAAATCTGCCCATCTTCGACATCTTCTTTTGCGATGCGATCGATGCAGAAAACTCATCTCCCATGGAGGTCTTCTTCTGCGTACTCTGTACTCCGGCCAGCGCAAACAGGTAATCACACCCCCTTCTTCTCCTTTTCTTCTTTCTTCTCCTTCCCCTCTTCTCCTCCTCCTTTCTCCTCTTCCTCTATTCTCTGTTCCTCTTGCATTTATTCGAATATTTTTTTTATTCTGCCCTAAATTTTGAATTGGAAATCTTTGGGTATGGAAATTCGAGACTCTTGTTCAAAACATTTTCTATCTAAATTATATTATTGTACTCCGTATATCTTTATGAACTTGTAAAAAATGCCACATCTATGGCATTCTTATATGGAGATGGACATTCACATTTTGAAATGCCAGATTTTTGACATTTCACAAATTTTGATATTTTCATGGCATTGAATTGTATTTATTGGCGATACTACTGCTTCATTTTTGTTCCCCAATTTCACTTTTGGACTCTGTAATGTGAAAATGCCATATTTTTACATGTAGAAATGCCATTTTTTTATCTGAAAATTCCATATTTTTACATGTAGAAATGCCATTTTTTTGTCATTATTGTTATCATAATTGCATTTTTTTGAAATTGATACCATACATGCATTCAAGAAGGTAGCAGTGACTAAGAAGATGATTATCTGTAGTGTGTAGAGGAGAATTTAGTTGTGGTACCATTCTCACTGTAGGACGGGTAAGTCGCCTCACCGGAGGTGTGCAGCAGCAGTCTCAGCGGCAACTTTGGTGGAGGTCTTACTTGGCTACGGCGGCGGTCCCGGCAGCAGCTGCCGTGGACGGAAGATGGTGAAGGTGTCCTGGCTTGGAGTTCGCATCTGGAACGAGGCAGCTGGGCCGAAGGTCGGTTAGAAGTTAGCAACGTGGAATGGGCACGAGAAGGGTTTTATTTTTTTTATTTGATCGCACAATTTGGTCTAATCAATTCATTTTTGGTCCTACGAATTATGAGAGTCTTATTTGTGCACTTCAAAATTGATTTAGTCTCATTTAGGGAATTACCTCTTTTTTTTTTATAATTTTATTAAGTAAATTTTGGTTTTTTTTTTAAAAAAGGTTGATACGGGTATCCGTCAGGATACGAGTATCGGAAACTTTCAAAAAATTACAAAAAAAATGGAAACTTTTAAAAATTACAGATACGGCCCGGGAACGTACGGTACGGATATCCTAGAGTATCGGATACGGGAATGTATCGGATACGCCGATACGCTACCCTAGGGAAGTATCCGTGCTTCATAGGTGTACAATCGTGCACTACAAAAAAACACGCGTGTAGTCACGGAGGTAGTCACGGACGCCAGTTTAAAAAATCCGTGACTAAATGAGTTAGTCACGGTCGACGGCCGTGACTAATTCCGTGACTTAATGGGCGTGACTAAATGAAGTCACCGCCACATAACCATGACTAAACGTAGTCACGGGTTAGTCACGGTCGGCGGCCGTGACTATTATCATGCCGGAAACCCCACTCCGGCGTGTTAGTCACGGCTCCTGACCGTGACTATAAGTTTTTTTTTTTAATTAATATTAGTAGTCACGGCTGTCGACCGTGACTAATTTTTCAAATTTTCAAAATTTTCAAAAGACCGCCCGCGGTTGTAATATAAAATTTTGAAATTAGTCACGGGTGTCGACCGTGACTAAGTTTTTTTTAAAAAAAAAATAATGTTTTTAATTAAAAACAAATAATAATTTCGGAAACTGTAGTCACGGATAAGGTTGTGACTACCATTTTTGTTTTTTAAAAAAAAAATTCCAGTTTTCGTTTTTTTTGAAAAATGTTTTTAAAAATTACTTTTTTTATACGTATGTTTACAAATTAAATTTAAAAATGTTTTTTGAAAAATGAGTTATTGAAAATATTATACTAATTTTTTTTAAAAAAATTTACATTTTAAAGAGTAAAGACATACAACAAACTTAATAAATATTGTGACAAACTTTTAAATGTTTTGACATACAACAAAGTATAAATGTAAGATGATTACATGTCCCTTCGTGGGACTCCATTATGAAAAAAATTAGGATTTTCTTCATCATCATCATCATCATCAACAAGAAACTCATCTGGGTTCACGGGGGGGTCTTCGGGGTCAGGTCGGGTTCCTCCTCGGGGTGCTCCTCGGGGTCCTCCTCGGGGTGCTCCTCGGGCTCCATGGCTCGGTGGACCACTACCTCCTCCGGATGACCTCGCAAAATCAAAGGACATAGATCCGAAATTCGGGGAGATCATAGGCATGCCACCGTATCCGGAGTTGGGGAAAAATCCCATACCGCCCATGTGCGGAACTTGAGGAGTTTGCTCAGGGTGGAATACGTACGGGGGAGGAAAAGGCTGTTGCGGAGGCTGGAATCCGGCACGCATGAACCGTTCCATCTCCTCCAACCGGGCTTTTGTGGCCTCATCTGCTTTCCGCTGCTCCTCCCATCGTCGTTCGTGCTCCTCCAGTTCACGCTGCATTGTAGCAATACGAGGATCTTCTCCCCGCCTTGACCGAGAAGAGGAAGCGCCGGTGCTTCGATCATACAAAATCCGTTGCCCCTCGGACCCCAAGCACGGAACCCGGCCCTTGTAAACCCCGGCCGCCTCAATGGCCGCCTCATCATCCGCATCGGAATCGAGGTCGTCCTCCTGGGTCAAGCCTCGTGCCGCACGCTGCCTGTCAACGGATTCGTTACGTTGTACTTCGTCTGCATTTTCAAAAAATATTTTTTAAATGCTACATACTTAGATTTGAAATGTTACTAAATAACAAAATATGATGTTACATACTTCGAAGTCAGCGAGGCGGGGTGGCAGATCGGCTTCAGATTCCTCGCCGTGCTTCGTCCAGTAATGCTTGACGAGCCGGAGAACACCAACCCTCTTCTTCTCAGGACCAGCCTAAATGGTGTGAAAAAGACTTAAGTAAATTTTTTATAATGAAGGATTGTGATGGTGTAAGGTTTTTTGAATAGCACTTACAAGAGTTTCTTTATGGGCATTCTGAGATTTGCGACCCCCGTGCCACTGCATCTCCAAGGCCTTCTCGGACATCCGGTTTTTCTTACCGGATTCACTTCTGGCCAAGAATTTCGGATCAGAAGACCAGTGGCGACAAAGGTTGGACCACACTTCATCCGAAACCCATTTAGGCTTTTTCGCACTTTTTCGGGCACGCTTAAAAGTGGCGCGAAGCCAGATCGAAATCCTAGCATTGTAGGCTTTAAGAATATCGGCACCGTTTGCGTGAGTCCAACGATAGCGACCCTTTATTAAAACAAATTGGATTAATTAATCACTAGGTATATATTAGGCCAATACAATTAGGGAGGGAACATTCATTTATTTTTACCTTGAATAGGTTCCACCATAGTTCGCGAACCTTGGGGTCAACATCCGAGTACGTGGCCCAAGTGCCAAGAAAGTGTCCTCCGATTATGTTTTGATGCCTTTGAACACTTCTTCGTCACTTAAAAAAATTAATAGTATTTATTTATATAAGATTTGGTTAGATTATTTAACATTATATAAAATTATTGAAAATAAGGTTTCTTCATAACTACTTACAAAAGAACTTCTGCAGGGGTCACCCAAACAGCTCCTTCGTTGTTGCGCTCCGCTTCGGACATGGGCGCATAGTTAGGGCGGGGAGCCGAGGTCGATTGTTCGTTGCTCATCTAAAATATATTAATTTATTTTGTTTTTTGTTAGAACGCTTATAATAGAAGATCAAATTTTTATGTAAGTATTATCAATTGTCAATGTATATAACATATTAAACTGGGTATAAGTTTAATATCAGGGTCCAATAATTGCTAATAAACAAATACTATAATTATCAAGGAGTTGACACAGTCGACCGAAAAATGAACCGGTTGGAGCTTATCAATGAGTTGACCGAGTCGATTCATTGATAAACTCCATCCTGACGATTCTTCGGGCTACGCCTTGAACCATGGATGGGCTACATCACATGTAGCGACATAATGTCAGTACATGCGCTTGGGAGAGTCCATCGATGACTCAAGCCGTAGCCAGAAGAATCGACAGATTGGAGCATCTCTTTTAGTGCAATTGGTAGAAGTCTTTGCATTATTACATGAGCATCGTGAGTTTTCATGCTCGCCGTCGTGGTAAGTTTGTTCATGTCTACGCATCTAGACAAGTTGGAGCAGTAGCCATCTGGAAACTTCTGAGACGCAAGCCATTGTAATATTGCTGCCTTTTGTGGTTCTGTGACCTGGTAGACTGCTTTTGGAACTTCCTTGCCCTGATATTCTAGATCAACAGAAAGTTCGGGTCTATCACACCAAATAGTCATATCTTTCCTAGCTGCAAGACCGTCTTTAGTTTTGCCTTTCAAATCCATCACCGTGTTAAATATATTGTCAAAGACGTTCTTCTCAGTGTGCATGACATCTAAATTGTGACGGATGAGAAGGTCTTTCCAATAAGGCAACTCCCAGAATATGCTCCTCTTTGTCCACTTATGGGTATCACAATACCCATATGGCTCTTGGTTTGGCTCTTCCATAGCCGTAGGAAAACGTCGAACCCGGTTATAAATTTCTTCACCGGTCAATCTCGGGAGTGGGCTCTCTCGTACCGCTCTGCCTCTAATGAAAGACTTCTTGTCCTTTCGATATCGGTGCCTTTACGGGAGAAACTTGCGGTGACAATCAAAGTAACTTCCTTTTTTGCTGTAACTGAGCCAGTTGGCACCTGATTTCTCCATGCATATCGGACATCCCATCAGACCGTGTGTGCTCCATCCCGAAAGCATGCCATAGGCAGGGAAGTCGCTAATGGTCCAAATGATGGCAGCTTTCATGATAAACATTTTATCTGATAAAACATCATAAGTTGGTGTCCCAACGGCCCACAGTTCTTTCATCTCCTCAATAAGGGGTTGAAGATAAATGTCTATCTTTCGCCCAGGATCCTTGGAACCCGGACAAATTAAAGACAAAAAGATGAAATGACTTTTCATGCACATGTCGGGAGGGAGATTGTAAGGAGTTAACATGACCGGCCAACATGAATAGTTCTTGCCAAACCTGCCAAAAGGAGCAAATCCATCTGAGCACAATCCCAGCCGCACATTTCGTGGCTCCATAGCAAACTGAGGATGACAGCGGTCAAAGTGTCTCCAGGCTTCACAGTCTGAAGGTTGAGCCATCATACCCTCGTTGGTTTCGTGCTCAACATGCCATGTCATGTGTTTCGCAGTAGCAGTCGAAGCGTACATCCTTTGCAGTCGGGGAGCTATTGGGAGGTAATACAGTTTAGACAGTGCAGACCTATGTCGTGGTTTCTTTTTACCTTGACGAACAGGTTTGTATCTGTCTCCACCACAGAACTTGCAGAACTCAAGTGCCTCATCCTCCTTCCAGAACAACATACATCCTTCCGGGCACGCATCAATTTCAACACAAGGTAGCCCCAACTTAGACATTAACTGCTTCATGTGGTAATATGAATCCGGAAGGGTATGATCTCGCGGTAGCATCCCTCCTACTGACTGCAAGACTCTATTCATGCAAGTTTCAGGGAGACTGTATTCGGCTTTTATGTTCATGAACTCAGTAACAGCGGATAGCTGAGAGTATCCCTCACAATCAGCATACAGAGGTTGGTCGGCAGCTTTTAGAACATCCTGAAATCTCTCAGCCAAACCTTCATCCACATAAGGTTGATAAAATGTCGGATTTTCATCCGCATCTGGTTGATACGAGGTTGAGGCTTCAGGGGGGTCGTTAGGTGGTTGTGGGGGGTTGAACTGAGACGGTACACCGTATGCGTCATATACCATTTGTTGGTCCCACCTCATTTCAGCACGGTCTCCCCACGCACTCATCTCTGGAGGGACGTAACGAGACGAACCTACCGTTTGTGGTATAACAGATGGATCCAAAGGTTCGACGTGAGAAGTCCAATTATAATAATTGGGAACAAAACCGACCGCGTACAAATCATACCTAACTTCGTGTGGGTCTTTAAATTTGAGATTTTTACA